TACGAGAATAAATACAAACCCTAACATTGACCTTAAGTGAGGATCAAACAGATAACAACTGCGGTAAATCATCATTACAGTTCAGCTTTATATAAAACAGATTACCGGATCGGCTTTTAATAATAAATTAAAAATAATTACTTTTTTTTAAATGATATTTCTAATTTAACATATTATTTGTCTTGGTAATATAGGGTATATATAATTGATAAATAAACGAGAATCCCACTACTGAACTGTTTAAGTTTGTGAATCAATTTGCCAAGAAACTATGCATTAAAAAGTGTGACATCTTTCCCGATGCGTCATCGTACAATTTCACATCGGAAGTAACTGTGTAAATAATTGACAAAATCTATAACCCATTTTCCTAAAAATAAAAACTCAAAAAAGACAATTTACATGAAATAAGAGAGGTAGACTTTGGTTAATAAATTTCAGTTTAGTATAACGAAACAAAAGTTCTGAAAATGTGAAAATTATTGAATAATCAATTTAATTTATTGATTGAATTCATGAGTCAATTGAAGCTAGACCACCATGAGAAACCTGGAAGAACTGGACAGCCGTTTCATCCTACTATACGTCTTGGGTGCGAATCTTGTGGAGCGGGATCGTGGATGCGCACTCCTGAAAAGTTCTTTACTAAGATGAAACAGCCATCCAGTACTTCTAGGTTTTTCATGGTGGTCTAGCTTCAATTGACTCATGATCTCAACCATTATAATCTCTTTATTTTTTGAAATATTCATTCGAAAGTAAATGTTATGTGTTTTACAGATGTGTTTGGTTTATTTTCACCTTTAAAGTATGTTATTGATATTTTATTAATAAGACATGAGGCATTAACCTTTTGATTTAATCATTCGGCTAATTATTTCATGAAAACATTTGAAAAACAATTAATAATATTTGTGGAAGACTAAAAGAAAAAAGGTATAGGCACTGGGAAAAATACTATTTTTTCGCTCAAAATGAGGAAAACAAATCTAGAGGGAAAGAAATAATGGTACCAAATGTAGCAAAGAACTACGAATTAAGGAGAAACAATCGAAAGAATGTGGTGAACTCGAGGACTACAATGCACAATGTTATACCGTATTATGATGTCTATTATGCATATTATGACAATCCAATCGACTTAAATTAACTAGGACACTTGTAACATAAGGCCCATATTGTGATAAAAGACGCTGATTGTAAGCAGTATTGACAAAGGTATTAGATTCCAGGTACAAGAAGTAGTTTATACTGTTTACTGTCTTGATTTAACTTTGAAGTAAAATGTTTCCCTGTTAATGGACACTTACAGAATGTTTTTTTATAAGTAAATGGATGCATTCGAAAATGTCAACACTGAAGCTAGGATATATCTTGCTCCTTGTAATCTCGCTATTAATGAACAGATTTTTAAAAAATTATAGATACATCACCACAATTCAAATATATGTATAGAGAACATCTATATTTGTCAGTTCAGTGTTGTTATCAGGCTCTGGAGAGGAAACTGTCTCGTGCAAGATAATTGACTACCTACCGTCCAAGGTGATCATCAGATAGTAGAACATAGTTTACAACGCATAAAGTTTAATACTCATACTTGTAACGCCGTTTTACATAGGTCAACTGTGATCCGATCAGTTTGTAGTAGCACATTATAACACTTCAAAAAAACATATCCTAAAGGTCGTCATTGTAAGTTAAAAACAAGTCTTAGCATTTTAAATCTGCAGTTAGAACTTTCTTTTCAATTTAAAATTTCAACACCAACAGTACGTCTTAGTCCGATAGTGAACATGCTAGGTCGTGAGTTATCACGAATTGACTAAAGCTGAAAATATGGACAGTCGGATGAGAACTCTATGTTTTAAAAGTAACACGATGATCATGATATCTAAAGACCATAGGTTTTAGTGGAGTTGTACGTACAGGCTAATGAAACATTCCATACTAGGACTAAACAAGTATCTATTGATCCCTAATCTTCAATGATTATTTATCCAAAGTTAGTTCATAATGTAAAATATGATTAAAAAGAATAACCTTCACTGGCCTTTTATTTCAATGATTTGGTCATTATATAGATAAAGACTTGTGAATATAATTCATTAATTAAGATTGTAATTGTAACTTTATGGCATTTTTTTGTAACATGTAGTTTATAACTTATGATAACTAACAATAAGCACAATGATAACAAATTATATTTTTGTGTATACTAGAGGTCAAATTTATCAATGAGATTTCATGTTCGTTTATAAACTCAAAATATTTTTTTTTCTCTTTAGGTGATCAATATCATCATAAACCTGAAGTATACACATGATATAAAGGTGTATAATATAAAGTAATTTTGCATATTAAATGAGCTTATGTATGTCAGTATACAGAATAAAATCAGTCATATGAATGCATAATTGAGACAATAAACATAACAATTGTTTATATAAGTTAGTAGTGTTTGTTTAATTAATATCTACCGACGAAAATCTTGGTAACACCAATCGGACTTAAGAATACATACCTGTCTATATTATAAAATATTTTCGGAAAAATAACATAAGGAGAGCGAGTGGTTGTTTAAATCAGATTTGTTCACATGAAGAGTAATTCTCAGTAAATTCAAATTACCATTTGTAAAACGATAAAACAACTGAGAATCAGTATACAATTTCACATAAATTGTAGATTTTGTGTGTCATTCGATAATTATCTACTTAAATTATAGAAAACCGGTTAACTCATATTAGTCAGACCGAAACGGCCAATGAACTAGATATTTATTAAAATAGTATTTAGACACATGAATGTGATGTTTATGATTATAATTTATAGAAGATAGTTTAAAACTATGATAGCTAAAAATATCATACTATATGTCAATGAAACTGGATCTACAGAACGCCGACTACTTAAGCTGAGAGATCAAACCTGGTTTAGAGCAATAACTATCTCCTTTGAGATCTGAGTAGAATCCGATCTGTTGATCTCGAAGCTGGATATCTACTAAATCTTTCATCTACTTCAACGACACTGTTGAAATGTTTTCCTGGTGCCGGTGCTAGTGAGATGCCTCTGTAGTTCTCTCGTTTGCTCTGAGCTTCTTTTTGGCATCTTGATGAGGTTTCCATCTTTCCAGTTCCTTGGCAGTTCCTTCTAAATCTTCCTGAATAGAACGTGGAGCATTTTTGCAGTTGCTTTTGTGTCTGAATTTAGTGCTTCAGCTGGTGTATTTTCAGGTCCTGCTGCTTTCTCACTCTTAATTTGTCTGAATGCCGTGCTGATTTCTCCGGTTGTTGGTGGAGCGACAGATATGGGAATATCTGCGTGTACTGCCCCGATGTCTGGCGTGTTCAGTGTGACTGGTCTATTCAAGAGTTCTCCAAAGTGTTTTTACCCTCCTGTTCCTTTGTTCCTGAATCTTTGTGATTGGTTCGTCTCCTATGTCCTTGACCGTTCTCTCTGGTTTACTATGTTTGCTTGTTAGTATCTTCGTTGTGTCACATAGTTGTCTCATATTTCCTTCTCATGCAGCTTTTTCCGCCATTATTGTTAGATTTTCTCTTTACTTCTGCTTGTTGGTTCCATAGTTCTTCTTCACTGTTGTTGAGAGTTGTCTTGAATTCATTGAGTTTGTCAGTGTCTCGAAAGAAAACTGCACTGAACCTTGGCATTGCCGTCTCCACAGCTGTACAGTAGTCCTTTAGCTCTAATTTCATCTTCAACACAATCAGGTGGCGATCTGAATCTATTTCAGCTCCTCTCCTGGTTCTCACGTCTTCCATTAACCTTGTGAATCTTTTACTGATGCGAATATGATCTACCTGGTTCTCCGTGGTGTGATCCGATTAAACCCATGTAGCTTCGTGTATGTGTCTGTATGTGAATATAGTGCAGCCTATAACTATTCTATCGAGGACACATAAATTTGTAAATCTGTCACCATTCTCGTCCCGTTCTCAAAGTTCAAATCATCTCATGATATATTCATACTCGATGTTGTCTTTTTCGATCTCGACGTTTAGGTCTCCTATCAGGATGATCAGGTCCATTCCTGAGCACATCCTCACGATCGACTGCAGCCTCTCGTAAAACTTGTTTTTGTTGTCATCACTGCGATCATTAGTGGGTACATAATATTGGATGAAGTTCATTTTTATCCCATCCTTTTTTGCTCTAAAGAATGCTTTGATAATTATGGATCCACGAAATTACCATTCTATAATTGCTTTTCGTGGTTTTTTGTCGTTGTCAGTGGAATTTCTTACGTAAGCAAAGCAGTTTCTTTTTGATGACCAGAGTACAATGACATCTCTCTCGAAGCTAATCTTGTGTGTCCAGCTTGAATGCAATGTGGTTCGCTTATTTTGAGAACCGTCAAATTGTATCTTCACATTTCCACAGCTATTTGATTAGTCCTCGTAGTCCCCTACATTGTTCGAAAATTCTATGTGCCTATATTAATTGTTACTCCATTTGTTATAAGGGGCATCGGCCTCGTGACTTCCGAAGAATCTCAGCTTTGAAGATGCTTCAACGTGTAGATCAAAGTTTAAGTAGTCAAAATTGTTGTTTTCTAGTTAGTGTTTTTAGCAGGGTTGTTTTCTTCGAGTTAGGGTCGCATTCCGTTTAAAAATAGCAGGAGTTTCAGGTTAGTGCTCTGTCTCTGTCTACTCGAATTGGAATGAAATTAAGTAAACAATATTTTAATCTGGAGGGTTATTCTACCTGCATGCTGATTCCTTTTTGCTTTAAATTGAAAAGTTGTTTTGGATCGGCAAAAAATATAAACCGGTCTTCTATAAGATGTTTTCTTAAATATCACTTTGTTATAAATAAAAATATGGGTATTTTCATAGTGCTTCAATCCTGGGATGTTGGAACGATATTAAATATATTTGTGAATCCATTATGACTATGTTTTAAACTAGTTTTTGTCTACATCAGTCAAGAAATTTAAGAAATAGCTATACTTGTAAAAAATAAATATGTAGTCTTACCAAATGTATGTTGCATTACAGCTATATCACGATAAATTTATTTTTGTCTCAATATTTCCCTCGACAAACAGGCCATTTTATTAAAAGTAGTTGGAGTACGTATAACATTGAACTGAAAGTAACCTAAAATACTAGAGATTTTATGAAATAGCACACTTTTGAACCGAGGACACTTTATTCTTGGGTTCTAACGAAATTTCAAAACAACACTGTTTTGTGTGTTTATCTATTGACTTCGATTTTACGAACTGTTCTTATTAAAGCGACAGTTAACTGTTTTTTTTCTATAAAATCAGATTATACTTAATTTCCATAATCGTGATTTAATACATTTCCTCTGTCAGTGTTACCATATAGTTCGAACATTGTGCCTATCAGTGTGCATGAAACACTAACAATAACATTTTTGCCTTTTTTTATAATCATACACGGCCATTTAATTTCCCAATTTGTCATTCTAATAAAGACTTATTATATGAAATATCGATAAGAGTCTTCACAAAATAATCATGAAGTCAGGACAACATTAAGATACATCATTTTGTTTTGTTGTTAGGAGGATCCTTCAGTTCTCTCAGTTTTGTTTCACTTTTCTTGAATAATGTAAATTAAATTGAAACGTGTATTTACATATTATCCATCTATGTGTTTACATTCTCTCTCATATATAGTTTTAGTAAAACAAGAACAACGTACATAGTAGAATATTCCAAATTTATTTATTTCGTGAACTTATATCATTCTGCTAAGATTGTTGCCTCTGTCTTACTAGAATGTATAATGAAAACGAACAGTATAAAATCACTCAAATATTTCCACTTAAATGTTAATGCTTGAGAGAGCAATATAAAATTTTGATCTAAACCGTTTGATTTTTAACATATTTAGTAGTTTATCATAGGTATAACAGCCTTTTACGGCTATTTATGAACCATCATTATTTCTTTCTATTTCACTACGGAAGATTACTGACCAATCAAGTGAGTGGAATTCGTCACTATACATCAGCTTCCTTGACTATGAGAAAGCATTTGACAGCGTAGATGGGAGAATCCCACTGTGCCTCCTTCGAGATCACGGTGTGAGTAGCTGAGATCGTCGACATCATATGAAATTCATTCGAAGGATTATACTGCAAACCCACTCATAAAGGACAACTGACAGACAGATTTCATGGGAGGACCGTAGCCGGACACAGTTGCTTACTTTAGCCCTTTCTCTTTATTCTGGTGGTTGACTGGATTAGGACGACATCCACATCTGAGGGTATGAACGGAATACAATGGACAGCTTGCATGTAGTTGAAAGTTTTGGACATTGCAGATAACCTAGCCCTTCTAGTCCATACACGCCAACAAATGCAGGTCAAGACAACCAGTGTAGCAGCAGCTTCTGCATCAGTAGGCCTCAAAATTCACAAGAAAAAAAGAAAGGTTCTGAAATACAACACAGACAGCACCATTCCAAGCGCACTTGATGTGAAAACTCTGGAAGAGGTGGAAAGTTTCATGCACCTGGACAGCATAATCGACGAACAAGGAGGATCTAATCAGAAGTAAAGGCAAGGATTGGCAAAAGAAAGAAGCATTCCTACAGTTGAAGAACAAATGGAACTCAAAACAACTATCAACCAATATCAAAATCAGAATCTTCAATACAAACTTTGGAGCAAGCCTGCTGTACGAATCCGAAACTTGTAGAACTACTAAAACCATCATCAAAAAGGTGTTTATAAACAATTGCCTACTCAAGATACTCAATGTTCATTGTCGACCGAATACCATTAGCAACAGCCGGCTGTGAGAGAGAGCGAATCGGCCTCCTTCTGAAGAGTAAATTAGAAGAGGGCGCTGGAATTCGATAGGAAGAATTGTTAAAATCAACAAACTGCATCTCAAAGCAAGCGCTAGCTTGGATTTTTGAAGAAAATGGAAAAGAGGAAGGCCAAAGAACACTGTATCAAAAATTGAAAGCAGATATCCAAAGGATGAATAGGAACCGGAAACAGCTAGAAGAGTTCGATAGAGAATGCTTGTGTGAGCCCTATGCTACTTCACGAGGAGTAACGAGCGTTGGTATGTAAGTTGGTAATCAAGTATGAAAATTAATACTATTATGACCAAGTGGTCATGTTGTTTCGGAAAATGATACGCCAGAATCTTAGATGGTATTACTAGTAACCATCCAAAATAATATGGTTTTGTTTAATATCAGGCGTTTTGTTATCTTAAAATCATTTCCCTACTTACTTTCCGATGGTTATCTTGATATTCTTCCTTTATTTCTTTGCTTCTCAATATATGCTTCGCCAGGTGTATGAAATGACATCGTTACAGATCGACGAAAATTCATTAAATTACGATAAATCAGCTCAAGCATCCACAGCAAAATGACTTGTGTAAGGCGTGCCACGAAGATTCGTGGAATCAACTTTGAGGCACGTCTATGCTTTTATAAGGTGTATGACTGATAGATAAGTAGTTGAGGGATTTTTAATTTTAGTCACAGGTCCACACCATACTCATTCTTTATTTTTTTAAATAGCGAAGTGCGAATACTGATTTTTCACAACGAAGGTATAATTCAAAGTCGGACGCATCAGTATGTACTAGATATACAAATTAGAATAACATCAACGCACTGCATATACAACTAATAAATGGTTTTAAGCAGTTTAAGTACTATCCAGAATTGTTCACTGAGATAAAGTAATGAATAAAATCGTTCAGTAGTACTAAATACATATGTTGTCTGAAAAGTGTGTAACAATAGTGCCACCTTCAATGTAGATTTACTTCTAATTTAAAGCAAAGCATTGTAGAAAGGTAAATACCCGCTGTTATACACATAAACAGAAATATATTCGCTAAACTAGTCATAACTGTATATTTGAAACTAAAATATTGTTTATGTGGGTCAATCTCAGCTATTTGCGCTTGTGAAATATCTGATTACCTTTGTCTGTCGTTTCCCAATTACTAAACCAATATTAATATTTTATTGTTTATCAAAACATTTGTATGATTTGCAGCTTCTTGATAGCTGTGTAATTCTTTTTAATGTAGAAGAAATAAACTCCTAGTTCAACAGGCTTCATTGGGTAAAAAACTTGTGCAAAAGATGAAAGACAAAATTTATCAAAAAACCAACAAATTATTGCCTAGGTTATTATATAATTCCATGCATAACATTTTGCATGTTACAGGTATGTTCTATACAGAATTTAGTAGCCTGTTACTTATTAGGTCTGTAGCGGTGAATAAATCCCCAAAATAAATAGCTCTGTAAGTTTTCGACATTGGATACTGACCAGATTAGTTTTAATGGGTTCACCTAGCTGAGGGCGCTCGGTTATGCAATCGTACCAGATCACGTGTGGGAACGCCGTGTTCAACATCTACTGCAATCGCTAGCCAGACTAGATCAGACAATTCCGATGTATTGGCAATCGTCAAATACAACTTCGGATCTCCTCGATTCTGTCTTTTGATTTATCTTGGTGGATACGAGGTATATTAGAAGGTGTTACTGGTAAAAGCGTTGTCAAACACTGAATACCTGTGCCATCTTCAGGTCGTTTGTTCTTTCTAAGTATACTCAAGATATATATAGCGATTTGAAGAGAACAAACGTCTTCAACGATTATCAGTGCATGATCAGAAACTAAAGACAAGCAATACCTAAGAAAAGTAGGGATTGGAGGCAATTTATTTATGTGGATAAAAGACTTCTTAGTTGGGCGTCAACAAACAGTTCGGGTGAACTCGAAGTTATCTTGCTGGGAAACTGTGCTTGGTGGAGCGCTCCAGGGTACAGTTTTGGGGCCAGTACTATTCCTCTTGTATGTCAATGACCTTCTTCGTCTCCTATCATAATCGGTCTTGCTATATCCTGACGATGTCAAGATATGGAGAACGATACGATGTAAGGGCAATAGCTTAGAACACCAAAATGAACTGAAGAAATTATCTGAATAGTCTCAAACATGGCAGTTGCCGATAAATACTTCCAAGTGTGTTGTGATGCATATCGGTCATCGAGGCACAGTTACATACACGATGAATAACACTGAACTACCTGTCATCCAGACACATAATGACTTAGGAGTTATCGTTAGTCAAGACTTAAAGACTACTGCACACTGCTGTGCAATAGCCGCTAAAGGATTTAGGACCTTATGGTCAATACGTAGAGCTTTTAGTCATGTCGACGCTAAGACGTTTTTGACTTTGTATAAAGTGTTCGTTATTCCTAAACTTGAGTCCTGCATACAAGCGGCTAGCTCCTGCTTAAAAAAAGACAGTGAGTTTCTGGAAAAGTTTCAGAGAATAGCGACTTAATTGATTCCCGGAGTAGCGAAGCTTCCGTAAGAAGTTCGACTGGCCAAGCTAAACCTTTTCCCGTTGTCATATCGCAGAACTAGAGGCGACTTGATTACAGTCTACAAATTGCTTACTGATAAATTTGCACATAATATGCCCTCGTTTTTCTTGTCTTCCAAAACAGAAAATTTACGAGGACACTCCAAAAAAGTTCATAAGCCGAGAAAAAATTGCTTGTCAGCTGACTATCGACTTTCCCATCGAATCATCAACGAGTGGAATTCACTACCTCAGCACGTGGTTGAGGCTCCATCCATCGACTCTTTCAAAAGAAAGTTGGATCAACTGAGAGACCATCATTTCCAGGACTAACATAGGCCATCGAGCCTCCTGTCCTTCCCAAACTGAAACTGAATAGGAATCAGCTTGCTATCATAATAATTACACTTAACGATAAAAAGAGTATTAGACTTGTTGTTTCCATTCGCGTAAAAACAGATAAAAAACAACTAAAGTGTAAGTCTCCGACTTATTTCTGCTATTTAGGCAACCTTTATATATTCAAATATTACTATATATTGTCCTAAAAAGACACAACGCAAGATATATAATATTTGTTTCTGGGAAAACTGAATAAACAATTTAAAGAGAAACTTGAATCGCGTGTGACAATATATCAAAAATAGAATACAGCTTGCATCGTGAACCGAGTCAAGTTGAACCTTCTCTGTTGTTATTCGCATTCGAAATACAATAGTTAATATATAAACAAAACTTGACGGTGAAAAATTAAGACTCTGAACCTTATTCAGCACATCAACGATAATCGAACCGCATTACTCATACGACAAGAATGGTGCTTTTGACAAAACGTACAGACAATTTAGTGTTTTATCAGTAAACT